TCATTAATGAACTTTTCCCAGCCCTTACATTCATGTCGATGGTTTTATACCATATCTGTATACTTATATTTTCCACACTATTTTGTCATATATATTTTAATACTACATATATATTCATGTACATTGAATTCATGTGTATTAATTATATATATTCATGTATAGATTGTATGTATTCATGTATATTCATGTATACTGATTCGAGTATATTCACATCATTCATATTAACCAATCACACTGAAAAGTGTAAGTGAAATATACAACTGTATCCTGCAGTTAGCATTTATTGCCTGAATAAATATAGTATAAAATATGACCATATAATCATGAGCCCCATGCTGCGGACTGAGGAAGCAATGTAATTTCAGCTGTATGTTTCCCAATCCTCATCTAGTCCATTCTCTAATAGGAAAAAGTAGTACAGAAATCCTATCGCAGTCTTCTGGGAAGGCATTCCTTACTTACCTTTATCTTGGCACACTGGTTAACTATGAGAAATCCTAGCTAAAAGCTGCAAAACAATTAGGTCCACACTGAGACCAAGCTCTTTCTGCTATGGGGGATGCCGGTCCCAGGAGGGACTACCACATACTACCACGTTCTAGGTTATCCTGCTGGGAGGAACCCTTCAGTTTTCCTCCTTGCCTACCCTGGGGCATATTAGAGATGTCACTCATGCCCTTTCTGCTTCTCTAACCACACTATCATCAAGACATAATAAATATAGCTTATGTTTCAGTAGTGGTTTTCCTTAATTCTATCATATTAGGTAACACTTGGCCAATTTCTGAAAGCCAAACTGTTCCCATCATCTTTAAAGGAGAGATCAAATTATTTCACCTACTAAATGGTTGTGCTGAGGCTCCAGAGTACATATTGAAACAAGGCCCCAGACTACATATTGGATCGTTCCATTTACATATTTTAAAGAAACAGGTAAAACTAACGTATCTGTTAGATGTGAAGGCAGTAATTACTTTAGGGGGAGGCAGTCATTGAAATGGGAAGAGTAAGACATGTTTCTATTTCTTAATCCAGATGCTACTTAGACCTGTGGGTTCAATTCATAAGAAATTAAGTTTAAGACAGTTGTGTTTTTCTGTACACACATTTTATTGCGATGAAAAATAGATTTTTAGATCAAATCTGCCTGAAGTAGAAAACTAATTAAACTTGGAACTTGAGCATCTTGTAATCCAACTATCTGCTGTTACTTTAAAGGTTTTGTTATGTCTCATCCTCTTTGAATGAGAAGGGCACCATGTTTTCTTGCCCAGATTTTCCATGTGCCTTTTTTACTTCAGTCCTGAGTCTATAAACCAACAATATTTAAAAAGTTAAAGAGTTAAAACTGTATGATGACACATGGCTGTATTCTCAGCAACTTGAGAGGCTGAGGCAGGATTGCAGGTTTGAGCCCAGCCTGGCAACTCAGGGGCAATCTCTTTCAAAATAAAAAATAAGAGAGCTCATGAAGTACCTCAGTGTGAAAGCCCTGGGTTCAATCACAAGCACCACACACATACACACGAGGAAAAAAGTTTAAGAGTTAAACTGAATTTCTACCTTTTTTATGATATAACATCCTCTCAGAAAATGATTACAGAAACACAGGAAATGACTTCTCTAGGCATGAGAATGTGCCTGGGAAGCCGCTTCCTCAGTTATCTCCTTCAAAAGTAGCCTATAACCTTGGAGAACTGCATTCCAACCCCAAAGATCAATAACTACAGTTTAAAAGGAACAATGTAAATACAATTTCTCAGGCTTAATTTACTAGCAGAAAATACAGACCCCCCCCCAAAAAAACCAAAAAAAAAAAAAAAAAAAAACAAAAAAAAAAAAAAAAAAAGGACAACAAGAAAACTAAGTTCATTTAAAGGAAAGACCATTTTCCTCCATATAAATGAAAGCAGGACTGATATACAACATGAATTTCATTTTATTGAACCACTCCTATCCTGCATATTTGAGCCCAACAGAAATTTCACCCACTAGGGAGAGCCTGAAATCCATCCAAAAAGAAAAAATTAGGCCCTGTGTGAAATAATGGTCACTTTCTCCCGAGCAAACGAACCAACCCAGGTACTCAACCTGTGCGAATCCGACTACTACCAAGCAAGCAAACGAACCAACCCAGGTACTCAACCTGTGCGAATCCGACTACTACCAAGAAATCTGGGTAGAATCAGGCTATCAGAGAAATGATGGTCACCTAAAACTGGCCTAAGGTGAACCAAGGAGAAGACTTATCACAGCTGCCGCCAGAATTATTCTGACTCAAGTAGTGCTGAGTTCTCCAAGCAAGATAAGAAACCGGTAGCTACCACATGGAAGGGTGTTTTGGAAATAATGGAAAAGAAATGTTCTTCCCTTCCAAGGAAACATTAGAGCTGGTGGGAAGCAAAGACAAGTTAAAATGTAGGAAAACGCTTAAGAATAATCTTTTAACTTCAGCACATTCTCAGTTTCAAAAGACGGCATATCACACACTTCCGTCTCTAGATGGCTTCAAGGTTTCAAGAACTATCTTTATTGTTTTTCTGCAAACTTTCACAAGTTACACCTGCTTTGCACCTCACTGTAAACAAACTTGGAGAAAGATTTAAACCACAATGTTGTAGCCAAAAAGGAAAACAACATTCTCCAACTAGTTTAAAAAGGAAAGTAGTTGAAGAAGCGGGAACCGAAATATAGGAATATAGGAGAAAAAGGACACCCTGCTGCTTTTGAAGGCAGAACCCATGACCCATCAAAGCCTACACGGGGCACAGAAGAGACTCTGCATTTGTCTTGAGGTCACCTTCAGTCCAAGAAATGCTCTCTTAACTAGAAACTGGAAAACCTAAGTGTTTGTCCTGGTTCTGCGAAGACTAGAAGTGAGGTCTTCCGCAAAATCCCTAAAGTCCCTCAGATTTCTCATTGGAGGTGATCTCCAAGTCTCCTCTGGCCTCAGCAGTTTGTACACCAGTCTAGGAACGAGACACGAGGGGCACCGGTCCACTGAGCGAGCTGCAGAACTTCCCCCTCCTCACCTACTCCGAGGTCCAGGGCCCCAGCTTTCCAGAGATGCTGCAGTCCTGGAAGAAGGTGGCTCCGGTGGATTACGGGAAGGGCGCAGGGGCCCTCCTGTCTGTAAAAGGGGTCCATCATTGCAGGAGTCCAGTCCCTACCGCCTCAGTTCTCTGTGAGTCCGGAAGTAACCCCCTACCCTGGGCCCTGGTTTAAATGTTCCAGAGATGGAGGCCGACGCAAAGCCCAAGCAAGGAAACCTAGCTTGGGGCTGAGGTTCCCAAGGTTGTGGAGCGCGCGCATGGGGGAGGGGAGGGGATGGAGGCCCTCGGGCAGGAGAGAGTCGCCTCGGGGCCGAGCGGGAGGTGAACAGCCCTCTTTGGTTCCTTACCGGCTAGGTTGGCCCGCGGGGGTCAGGCCCTGGCCCCCTGGGCTTCCAGGCGGCGAGCGAGGGGCGGGCCCGGAGGCGGAGGCGACCCGGCCGCTAGCTCGCGCGGCGCTGCGACCCCGTCACTCCCCACCGCCTCCGCCCCTAACCTTCGGCCGTGTCCGCAGAAGCAGCAAAACAAAACAAACTCGTGCCGGCTTCCTGTTGTGCAACCGAGGCTTAAAGGGCGCCGCCGCTGGGAGCCGGCGCTGCGGACACCCGCGCGCGCAGCCCGAGCGGTGCGAGTCCGGGGCCCCAGGGA